AACTGACTTTGCTTTACTTAATCACAGCTTTCTCATCTTCAGTATTGCATACTAGTGTGTTCCTTGCATGGTTTCTCTGTTTGTTAATGTATGTCAAGCCTCTGACACATACAGGCTTAATGACTAGTAGCTGTAATTATTGCTATTATTCCTATCATTTTTTAGACCCTGAATTGTTCTCCTTAACTCCTATTAGCTAAAGGATAAGTATAGATACTTACTTAAGAGGATATTGTTCATGGAAGGGCATAGTCAAAATGGCCATCAGCTCTTTTCTCTTCTCAGTGTCTCTGGACTGTGACAGGACTCTGGATAAACATCCCCACCCTGCCATTCATACTACAATTGCAGAGAAGAGTGATGTTAGCTCCTATGATCAAAGGCTTTTTACTGTGGCAGGCCCTAGACCCACTTCCTCTAATGCTCATAAGGAAGTTAGAAGTTTCCTGTCCCAGAAATATTGCCGATCTCTGACTTAAGTTTTGGAAAATACCAACCATGACATATTGTCATATGCTGGATGAGCTGACAGAGGAGTCCAAATATCCTTAGTGCATGCACATACACGCCCATTTTGGGAAGAAATTGTCCCCAAAGGGTCTTTCCCAATCTTGGCAGTCATTGCTAGTGCAATTTATTTTGTCAGAAGGAGGTATCCAGCCGCTGCCCAGGTCATAGCAAATTTTATCTGGACTATTGTCTGACCCCAATACAGGCTAGTTCCTAACATCTGTCATCTTGCATCAAGAAACAAAGGCCCACAGGGGCACCCGGCTGGCTCTGTTGATAGACTATCCCACTCTCGATCTCAGGGTCATGAGCTCAAGCCCCACTTTGGGCATGGAGCCTCCTTAAAAAAATAAGAAATGAAAAAGAAACAGAGGCCCACATACCATATCTCTAAACCAAAGTTATAGATTGAAACTTAGAGTCGTCATTCTTCATTTATTATTTATTTATCCCTTTTATTGAAATATTTGATCATTCATTTATCTCTTTACTTGAAGTATAGCTGGCACACAATTTTACATTAGCTTCAGGTGTCCAGCATTTGTGACTGGAAAAGTCTATATGTTATTCTCTGCTCCCCACAAGTGTAGCTCCCATCTGTCACCCTACAATGCCATTACAGCACCACTGACTACACCTACTATGTTGTACCTTTTATCCCTGTGAAAGTCAGCATTATTTAGATAAGTCTGGGAGTTTTGTTTTAAGTCTGGAATTTTTATGTTAATTTTTAAAATTTAATTAAATTATTAAATTACTTTTATAAAGAATATAATTATCTACCATTCTAGTATTCAATATCTTCTTAGTTGCCCAGGAGAAAATTAGTATTGCACTAATGTCTATGTTTCTTTCTCTAAAGTTAATGTGTGTATATATATATGTATATATATGTATGTAATATACATATATATACTTGCATATGTAAGGCTATATCACATCGCAGTAACCATTTGCAACTGTTGCAAACACCCCACTGGTTCATGAGTTTCCACAAATTGAGATATAAAGGGAAGCAATGAAAAGGACCATCTTTATTCCTCGGAAACAACACTTAATTATACAAGAATCAGAAGCATAATACCTGAGAAGAAGGTAGCAAGAAGTTACTTCATTAGTCTTTTCAGTTACGTGAAGGCTTTACCTACTCAGCTTTCCCCCACATTCTGAAGCAGTATATTTTTCCAAAGTAGGCAGCAGAGGTAAAACCCTCAAACCTTCATGACTTCCGTCTGCATGTGCTTTTCTTTTGAGAATGTGGAGCAAAAGATGTTGGGTAGCTATTCTCTGGAGCTTGAAGGGCGTTCCTCAAGAGAGAGGATGTGTGGGTTACAGATCATCTGTGACAAGTGACCCAAGAATCTTTGTGCTCTTTAAGACACTTATTATTTTTCACCTGTCTGTTAAGAAGAAACCTTTTCTAAATGGAGGGGGTGGTGTAGGATCCCCTCTAGCTTGGGGGTTCGGGGCAGCAGGTTTCTTCAGCTGATCACACAGGGATAGTTGGCCAAAACTGCCCAATAGAACTCTAGCACACCAGATGATATCCTAGCCACCCCAAGCAAACTCTTCCCTTTGGGAAATGGGTGGTTATGTGGCTAGCATTTCTGTCTTAAAACTTGTCAAGCCAGTTTTCTGTGTGTTTATGAAGACTCTTCTACCTCATGAAATTTGGATAACTGAATCTGAGTTGATGGGTTGCCAACTGATTTCTGCTCTTACCTCATGCACTGTCATCCTTGCAATAAATATACATTGTTGTAGATAGTCTGGGATTTTTATGTCTTGAGACCCTGGGTGACTTAAACAGTACATTTAGTACATATTCTTCACTTAATTTTTTTCGAATGTTTATTAATTTTTGACAGCAAGAGAGAGAGAGAGAGAGAGAGACAGAGCACACGCAGCGTAGGGGCAGAGAGAAAGGGAGACACAGATCCGAAGCAGGCTCCAGGCTCTGAGCTGTCAGCACAGAGCCTGACGCAGGGCTCGAACCTACCATGAAATCATGACCTGAGCCAAAGTCAGATGCTTAACCAACTGAGCTGTCAGCACAGAGCCTGACGCAGGGCTCGAACCCACCATGAGATCATGACCTGAGCCAAAGTCAGATGCTTAACCAACTGAGCCACCCTCAAACAGCTTCACTTTAAAGCTATGTTATCTTGTATAAGCCTTTAATATACCAGAGCTTCAATTATCTACTACCATAAAGTAAAGAAAATTACATTTGTCATTTAGGGTTGCTTCAAAGATGACCTATGTTCATATGCTTAGAAGGTGCTCAGTTAATTAAATGTGAATGTAAATCAAAAAGAGGTCTGAAACCTAGAAATATTTCTATCAGTAATACGTCTACAATTTCTAGCAAGGTAGTTGAGGTGTTATTTTCTCTCCCACAGTGTTGTGTTTTGTTTTGGTCAAATGAGTGTCCCTACAATGAAGCTAATAGCTCACCCTCATTTGGAGAGTGACTGGTTCCTTATATCAGTCACAGGTTTCGGAAAGAGGCAGCAGGAAGCTAGGGCGGGTTGCTGAGTCAGGCTCCTACCTGAGGACTGCCAAGGTGGGTTAAACCTGCAGGTCTTCCGAGGCTCAGAGGAAATGAACTTTTAGTCGGAAGGAGCCCTAGGGCACAAGTAAAATGTCATTTGCTACATTTCTGGGACGTATTGCATAGAAAACAGCTGAAACATTTCTTTTCTCCAGCAGGTGCTCACTCCCGTTTTGTTTTCACTTTGCTGAATCCAATCACTGGTGGAGTCTATTGTTCCTACCAAAACCTTCATGCTTAGATTTCCTTAAAGCTACTTCTTGTATTATGACCTTTCAAGTTTTTTAGAAATATTTTGTAACGTTCAGAGTCACTTTGCAGATTTGCTATCTGACATCTGATATTGGATAACAATGGGAAATGCAGGATAAAAAGCATGAAATGCCTGCATTTAAATATGGCTGTCTAATTAGTCAGATATATTGTGTTTTATCCTTCATCTGTTTCCTAAAGGATTCAGGGACTAATTGCATTATTATGCATCCAAAATAAACATTTGAAATAAACATGTTTAAAGTCAGACCAAAATCTATGGCAAAACAGAATAAATGCTGAATCAGAAGCTTTGGATTAGTTAGCTAGTCTTACAGAATTCACAATTTAAATCTGAGGCGCAGAATCCACGAGCAGAATGTGTTCACATTGAACGAAATAGCCATCATACTCATTATGTGAAAAAACGTCCAGATTCACCTGAAGATACAAACCTATTCTAAGTATGCATCCTGCCCTCCAGGAGACCACATGCTCCCGTGTCATTTATCTTTCTAATCCTAACATTCAGCATAAAGCCTGTTCACAGTAGACCCTCACAAGAGCTTGTAAAATGAATTAATGTATTGCATGGATCCCAGTAACATGGTAAATATGAAACACAATAAAAATGTGGTTAAAGTTTTGCAAGAGATTCTAAATATAAAATTGGAGCACAGTTCTTCAAGTTTTCTGTGCAAGGCTATTCTTTAATTTTGTTCCCCTAGTTCCACCATTGTATTCGTTGATTTACCTTGGATGTATACATACGCTTATACAATATGCAGTGTCATTTTGCATTTGTGTATTTTCAATACATATGAGTGGTATGTCGCTCTGGACCTTATCAATTGTTTTTGCTTGACACTACTCATTTTGGTGTATGTGTGTTAATTGGTTTTTAATTGGAGAGTATTTAGTAATAGTTACACTTCTACCTGCCGGGCATGGTGCTTTCCATTTCTCTACACACTTTCCAGCATTTGATTTTAAACTCCGTTAAACAACGTTCTGATTTTAAACTTCGGCTCATATGATGTGTTAAGAGTATCATCTTGGGAGTCTGGGTGGCTCAGTCGGTTAAGCATTTGACTCTTGATTTTAGCTCAGGTCATGATCTCACGGTTCATGAGACTGAGCCCTGTGTCAGGCTCTGTTCTATTAGTGCGGAGCCTGCTTGGGATTCTCTCTCTCTCTTTCTGCCCCTCCCCTACTTGTGCTCTCCCCCTGTCTCAAAATAAATAAAGCTTAAAACAAAATAATAACAAAAAACAAAACAAAAAAGAGTATTGTCTTGTTTTAATATGCATTTCTCCAATTATTGCATGAAACAATATTACTTTACCTACTTGTTAGCAGATTTCCCATTTTGTCTGTTTGTTAGATCATTGGATCATTTTTTTCTATCAATTCATTTCTTTTTGATTTTTAGGAATTCCATGTATAGTCTGTATATTGATCCTCAATCAGTTTTAGATATCACAAATATCTTTTCCCAGTCTGTCATTATCAGTTAATTTTTTAATATTTTTTAAAAATTTATTTTATTTATTATTGAAGTATGGTTGACATACAATGTCATATTAGTTTCAGGTGTACAACATAGTGATTCCACAATTCTACACATTACTCAGTGCTCACCACGGTGCATGTAGTTACCGCCTGTCACCACCCGTCACTGTACAATGTTATTACAGTGTTATTGACTATATCCCCTATGCTGTACTTTTCATCTTGTGACTTATTTATTTTATAACTGGAAATTTATACCTCTTAATCCCCTTCACCTTTGCCCATTCCTTCACCAACTTCCCCTCTGACTCCACCAGTTTTTTCTCTGTATTTAAAAGTCTGTTTGTTTGGTTTTATTCGTTCATTTGTTTTGTTGTTTTAGATTTCACATGTAAGTGAAATCATGCTATTTGTCTTTCTCTGACTTCTTTCACTTAGCATAATATTCTCTAGGTCCATCCATGTTTTTACAAATGGCAAGATTTCATTCTTTTTTATGACTAATATTCCCTCCCTCCCTCTCTCTCTCTTTCTCTCTCTCTCTCCCCCTCTGTGTGTGTGTGTGTGTGTGTGTGTGTGTGTGTGTTTGTATCACGTCTTCTTTATCCATTCATCTAAAGATGGACACTTGAGTTGCTTTCATACCTTGACTATTGTAAATAATACTGCAAAAACATAAGGCTGCATTTATCTTTTTGAATCAGTGTTTTCTTTTTTTCAACTTTTTAAAGTTTATTTATTTATTCTGAGAAAGAGAGAGAATGTGAGCAGGAGAGGGACAGAGAGAGAGGGAAAGAGAATCCCAGGCAGGCTCTGTACTGACAGTGCGTAGCCCAGTGCAGGGCTCCAACTCATGAACCCATGAGATCATAACCTGAGCTGAGACCAAGAGTTGGATGCTTAACTGACTGGGTCACCCAGGCACCCCTGAATCAGTGTTTTCATTTTCTTTGTGTAAATACCCAATAGTGGAATTACTGAATCATGCGCTATTTCTATTTTTAATTTATTGAGGAAACTAAACCGGTTTTCACGGTGGTTGCAGCAATTTACATTTCCACCAATAGAGCATGAGGGTTCCTTTTCTCTCCACATCCTTGCTAACATTTATATTTCTTGTCTTTTTGATACTAGCCATTCTGACTGGTGTGATATGATATCTCATTGTAGTTTTGATTTGTATTTCCCTGATGATGAGTGATGCTGAACATCTTTTCATGTGTCTGTTGGCTATCTGTATGTCTTCTTTGGAAAACATATCTATTCAGGTCCTCTACCCACTCTTTAATCCGACTTTTTTTTTTTTTTGGTTTTGAGTTGTATAATATCTTTGTATATTTTGAATACTAACTCCTTATCAGATATATCACTCGCAAATATCTTCTTCCACTAAGTAGGTTGCTGTTTCATTTTATTGATGGTTTCCTTTGCTTTGCAAAAGCTTTTTATTTTGGTGTGGTCCCAGAAGTTTATTGTTGCTTTTGTTTCCCTTGCCTGAAGAGATAGATCTATAAATATGTTGTTAAGGCTGATGTCCAATAGTGATGTCACACTATTTTATTTTATTTATCAATAATGTCACATCAGAAATAATGTGACACATACCTTTCTTTATTTTTGGTCTATCTCCCCACTCTGGAATGTAAGCTCTATGAGAAAGGACTTTGTGAGTTTGGTTCTCCACTTGATTTTCAATGTCCAGAACATGCTTGGCACAATATTTATTACATAAATTCATTATTGAAATATTTCACTTAATCATTGAAAAATGACTCCCAGATATAGAAATTTTAACTCTATAATAGTTTATCCAAATTGGACACTTTTAGAAACATTTAATCAATGGATTAAGTTTCTTTTTTTTTAATATTTTATTTTATTTTTTATTTTTTTAATGTTTATTTATTTTTGAGAGAGATAGAGACACAGTGTGAGCAGAGGAGGGACAGATTGAGAGGGGGAGACACAGAATCTGAAGCAGGCTTCAGGCTCTGAGATGTCAGCACAGAGCCCGATGCAGGGCTCAAGCTCACACACCATGACCTGAGCTGAAGAAGTCTGATGCTCAACCGACTGAACCACCCAGGCGCCCCCCCATTGGATTAAATTTCTTAAGACTTCTTAAGTTATGGCTACTAAGTGAAGACATCACCGTAGAGAAGAATGCTTACCTTGCTATTCAATGGAACTCATTAATTTAATGAATTTACCAAGTGCTATTAAAAATCGAAGTGTTAAGGCAGCTTCTTTTATGCTATTTGGAGTTGGAATTTCTACTGAATTCTGGCTTACAGTGTTAAGTACGGCAACAATTAGAAACAAACAAACAAACAAACATAAGAGCCTTAGGTTTAAACACAGATTGTACATAAATGCATTCTGTGTCTGTGGTTAAGATCTGATGTATTGGTATAGCACTCCAGCCCCAGCCCCCAACCCCTTTGTACATTTCTATAGCTTTCTTCCCTGCCCTCTTCCCCAACCTCCTTCCACTCTTTGGCTTTCATTGTGTCTTCCGTGGCTAAATCTGGGGCTCCTCAGTTAACTGCCCTAGGCAGTGGGCCTCCACTCCCCATGTGGGAGTACTAAATTTCGGTTCCCTCACATTTGCTGGAGACAATCTTGAGGTGTATCTCATGCTCCAGAGTTCCCCTGCAGGATCAAGTTGGACCATACCTTTGTCTCTAGTATGACTCATATCCTGGAAAATACCTCCTTAAAACATTACTTGTACACAGATCCTCTTTGTAAGCTAGACTGAGAAGCCCAACTTGGCACAATAGTTGATGGACTCCAGCAAGACTCCTGAACCTTCACTCCTGTAGCTGAAACAAGACAATGAAGTTTAGTTCTACCTCAACTCTGCTTGTTTTTCAGAGTTGAGGAACCCAGCCCCCAATGTCAAAAAGAAATAATAAAGAGCATGTTTAGAAGTTCTAAGAAATTTTAAGGGATGTTGTAAACTAATTTGTAATTTTTTAAAAAAATTCTGACGATGGGGTAGTTTCCTTTTTAATTTTTTTTAATGTTTATTTATTTCAGAGACAGAGAGGGACAGAGCATGAGTGGGGGAGGGGCAGAGAAAGAGAGGGAGACACAGAATCCGAAGCAGGCTCTAGGCTCCAAGCTGTCAGCACAGAGCCCTACGCAGGGCTCGAACCACAAAGCGTGAGATCGTGACCTGAGCCGAAGTCGTCCCCGACTGAGCCACCCAGGCACCCTGGGGTAGTTTCCTTTTTAAATTCCTGCAGGGAGAAATCTGACCAAGGAACAAAGAGCTAATTAGGAAAAATTGATATATCAGCAATTCTTCAGTGGGAGAGACTTTCTCTTAGAACAGTAAGAATTTTACATAATTAATGGAGATGTTTAGCAGATGCTGATCCTAGACTACACCTAAGGAAAACAATTCAATGCATAAACTGCAGCAAAATCCTCATAAAGATGTGAATTTTTCTGAACTGACCCAGCAGTCATATGGTTTCTCACCAAAACTTTGCCAGAGGCAAAATGATTTCCAGACCCGCTTTTTGTTGACCTCTGAACCTGTTATCAAGCTTCATTGGACCCAACTTAGTTTTTCTTAGTACATTGTTTTTTTCCAAATCTGCTTTTTTTGTTGACTTCTGAAGCTGTTACCAAGTTTCATTAGACTCAATTTAGTTTTTTCCTAGTACATTGTTTATTAATAAAATATTTTTGAACGGGTATAGTTATATGATTCAAAATGTCTCACATTTCTTTTATAATTGACCTGGTCCCCACCCCCATTCCCACAGATAACCATTATTAGTAGTATTTTGCATATTCTCCCAGAGTTTCCTTGTGTAAATATAAGCAGATATAAGTGTGATTTCTTATCCTTTTCAGTGACCTGATGCCCAGGTAGAGAGCAGGTCAAGTGGGTTGCAATGTGTCAGTAGTTGTTGCTATGAGGTTATAGAGGTGGCTTTTCCAAGAGTTCTGAACAGGATGCTGAAAATTCATTTGACTCCAACCTCATCTTCCTGACTAAGTTCTTCTTGCAATAGCATCAACAGGGGTGTGGATGTGTGGGCATCTTTTGAATTTTCTAAGGGATACGCGCTGAATATTAGCTTCCCATTTAACTTTGATGGCAATGAATTAAGATGGGTCCTATAAATCAGCATGTCCGGTTTTCATTTTCTGAGACATGACACTTACCTGTTTGTTTAATTCCACATGCCCATTTTGTGGTATCAATTTAAAAAAAATTTTTTTTAATGTTTATTTTTTGAGAGAGAGAGACAGAGTGTGAAGCGGGAGGGCCAGAGAGAGAGGGAGACACAGAATCTGAAGCAGGTTCCAGGCTCCAAGCTGTCAGCACAGAGCCCAAAGCAGGGCTCAAACTCATAGACCACGAGATCATGACCTGAGCCGAAGTCGGACTCTTAACCAACTGAGCCACCCAAGCACCCTTCAATTATTAAGACCTGAGTGCATTCTGTTCATTAGCCAAACCTTTTTTTTTTTTTTTTTTTTTAACAAGAGGGAGAGAGACAAATGAATATAATGAAAAAACATGGACAGTCGCTCACGCATAGCCTTTTTTAGGCTTTGTCTTTGAAGCCTACATAGAATAGTGAATTAAACATTAATTTTTTTAAAAAGGCATGCAATTTTTACAAGCTCCCTCAAAAGTAATTTTTATTATTAACTAGGAATTCTTAAATTATAATACTAATATGTAAGTACATTCTCATAATTTAAAAAAAAATCAGTGTACATAAAAATTAAGTTACAACTTGGTGGCTTTTCCAGCCTCCACAAATTCTATTCCCAGAGGAAACCACTATAATTGGTTTTGCCTTTACCCTGTCAGACACTTTTTCTGTACATTTATGTATAATTTGTGCATCTGTAGATAATAGTTTTGTTTTTATTTTTACATATGTGCTCATTTTCATGAATGAAGTCTGTAGAATTCTCTCTGCTTTTCCCACAAAGAGATAAAATCTTGTTTTTTAAATATCATAACATATACATCCTACCTAGTATTCTGACATAGGGTAAGTTGCTTCATTGCTCTTTGTCTTAGATTTATTTTTTTATCTATATAATGACAATAGTAATGAAACCTGCCACTTGAGGTTATTCTGAGGACTGTGTGAGGTAAAGCTATGAAATGCAAGTAAACCTTCCACCTCTTCGAATGTTGTTTATTGGACATTTGTACTTCTCTTGCTATAAATAGCGCATTTATATCCTGATTTCATTTTTCTACTTGATTATTTTTCTTATTAACCTATACATATTCTTATATCA